TAAAGAGGATAAAATGAGATCTGTTTGCTCAAAACACCGGGACTGTTTAGCAACCCAGACCTCCTGCTCGCTCCAATCACTTGCATGATGTACTGAGCTCATAGCCTGCAGCCTGTGGCCCTGTCCCCAGTGCCTGCGCAGCCTTCCGCAGGACTGCAGCTTCAGGTGTTGCTGCAGTGATTTCTTGCTCCCATTGCTTCTCTCTGCAGTAGGCATGCCAAAGTGATACTTCTGCACAAACCCAATCGAGGGGCATTGATTAGAGGAGGAAGGAAAATCACGTTGGGGCTGAAAAAGCTGCAATTGCAACTGTTTAGAGCTGATTAAAAAAACAACCCACCCCTTCCCAACCCCCCCCTTCCCAACCGCCCCCCCAACAAACACAAAACCATCATTGGAGATATGAAAAATAAACCCCTGGCTTCTTTAACAGATAGCAAAATCTGCTGAGTTTGAGTAGCCTGCATCTCTCTCTCCTGTCTCCTCCAATCTGCCTAAGACATGTGTTTCTATAAGGCTGTCTCTTAAAAAGACCAGCTCTTTTCAAATGATCCAAAGCCAGCCCACTATTCACCACCACAAGAAGTCATATATGAGGATAGGGCAAGGGCATATGTGAAAGGCAACTGGGGTCTCATTTCATCCTCAAGGTGAATGTGATGAACCCCTGGGCTCCGGGACATTACATCCCCATGAAGGTTTCCTGGTGCAGCATCCGCAAGGCCATAGCTTGAAATGAGCTGCTTCAGCTGGCAACCTGACACAAGCCAGCAAAATAACAAGCCCCTGTGCTCCCAGCAGGCATCCTGGACCAGCCACCTCTTCAGGCTGCTCAACCTCAACTGCAGGTCATGAGACTGTGCAAAATGCAGTTACATAAACAAGGGGTTTGCCAGCCTCTTCTAGACTTTCAAAATCTGATCAAAACCCCACCAGCCCCAAATATTTACATGGTGTCACTATGGTGATGAAGAAAAATACATCCTGAGCTGCAGGAAGTGGGCTGTGTTTTCCAGGAAGGGTTGGGGAGGCAGGAGAAGGATGGAGGCCATCACAAATGTGACATTTTCTAACTCTGGAGCAAATGGCCTGGGAAAGTCGGTGCTGCAACTGCAGAGGGTGATGCTCGCAGGGCATTCCCCTGGGGTGAGCGTGGGGAGCAGCTTGGGTGGCCCAAGGAGCCCAAGGGAACCCTGAGCAGCTGGAGAGATTTGTCAAGAGAGTGCAGGTTCCCCCAGCAGTGCTCACTGCCCATATCTGGTGGGCAGCAAGGGGGAGGCAGGAGCAGGGATGGGCACAGGCTGGGGACTTGGCCAACCCTTCTGCTGCAGGTTGCTCCCACCACCTCCGCCCATGTGCGCTCCCTGTACTCTCCTAATGTCTCCACAGACTGGTGTCAGTACAAGCAGGTTCATCATGTTCAAGCTCCCTATTTACAGCATGACTCAGAAATGCAAATCCAGACAGGCTTCCCTGCATAAAGACCTAGATCATTCATTTTCACTTAAGCCTCTGGCTGCTATTTCCAGATACCATCACACATTTCGCAGTTTAAATGCCAACACCAACGCCATAGAGGGTGGGATGCTGCTGGAGGCTGGCTTGCTGTATGCCATCAAAACCTGAGATGTGACTAGTTGCAACAGTGTGGGGCATGGAGAAGGTGTCTAGGTATGTTTTGCTGCAAAGAAAGGTGGAGGCTGGATTCAGGAGAGATGAAACAGCTCTATTGGAAATCCCTCCCCAGTTCAATTTCTGCTACAATGCTGGAAGCCTTCTTTAGGGGGTGATTGAACAAGTGCCAGTGATCTGCTAGGTGGCCATAAAATGTGGCCCCTGAAGCATTTTGGAGCTCTTGGGAAGTTGTGTTTGTGTAGAAGGATCATATGGCTAATTACTCAAGCAGGCTCATCCCAGAAAAGCAGCAATACCTGTACCTTTGCCATAGCAGAGCATTCCACAGGCCCAGAGGTATTTACTGTTGGGCTAATCCCAACTGTCATATATCTACATATATTTTATCACACTGGTCTTATCATACTTGGCATATGTATGAGCACTATACACACAGCATTGTTCATCTGTATCCATATACTCATATATAAGTATATACACATACATATATGCAATACTCCTAACACGGGCATCTGGACCCCTAGCGAGTCAGAGAGCCAAAAAGCAGTTTCTGGTTATTATGCTTGTGGTCTGTCAGAGAGATGAGCATGTGCGGGTTGAGTGCAGCCTCAGACCTTGTGCAGGGAAGCCTTGGCCATCTGCCTGAGTGAACGCAAAGGTGCATCTTCCAAAACATCCTCCAGAATCACCCTGTGCCGTGGCTGTTGGGTGCATCCTGGCACCGGAGCTCACACAGGAGGCAGGTCTTGTGCTCTCTGAAGGACCCCAACCCTGCCCTGGTAGGTAACCCCACGTTGCAGCAGGGTCCCCAGGCACTCAGTGCCTCCCTGGATCCCGCTTCCCACCATGGAGGCATGTGGAGGAGGACTCCCTGCAGCTGCATCCCTTGGAATAACACCAGCGGATCACTTGCTGTGTGTTTTCTGGTTGTTGCAGAGTCTCAGACCCTCACACCCCCCCAGTCATGGTGTGATGCACCCAGCTTTCCCCCAACACAGTGATTGAGGGCTCTGCTGGTGTTGCCTGGTCCCAGCCTTGGGCACTGTCCAGGGATGGCTGAAGGTGTCCCAGGGCTCGCCCAGGCTCCCCCCATTCCTTGGTCACTTCTTGGAGGGTTCTGAGTGCTGTGGCCAAGGGCTGAAATGAGATCAGGAGGGGCAACTGACTCCTGACACAAGCAACAGGTTTTCAGGCTGATGTTCTCCATGTGCTTTCCACTACAGATCTTCATACGGGGAAGACACGGGCACAGGTGTGCACTGAGGGACTGGTTGTGTTAACACCTGTTCTTGTACTACTCAGTAATCCACACATAAATATGTTATTTCTGCTACTATCTTGATTGATGATTCATTTTATCTCTTTGCACTGAAAGTTTCCTTACCCTCTATAGTGCTCTCCCAAAACTTGTACCCAAAATGCCTGGCAAGACCAAGGGCTTCTGAGAGCTACTGCTGCAACAGCTGTGTTGGTTTCTCAGGAAACTGAAAAGGCAAATAAAAACATCACCCCAGGAGGCTGGTCCAAAAGCAACTCACCAGCGTGGTACAGGCACCCTCAGCCCCACTGCCTGGGTGCTTCCTCAGGATTCAGCTCACACACTCAGCTCACACCCCGGTAGCTGCTGTGGTGTCTGTAGGGGCACAGGAGCCAGCCCTGCTCACTGGGAGCCGCACAGCCTTTGGGCAGCTCTGTGTCCACAGGGAAAGGCTGAGCTGTGGGTGGGAGGACATCTGCAGGGAGGAGGTGTTCCTTTATGTTGGTCCCTCCAAAGCTGTCACAGGGGCCTCACACTCAGACCAGCCCTTCAGGAAGACTGGGTGGTCCCTGTGCTGTGCTCACTGTCAGGCACCGCACTGACCTCAAAAGCCCAGTAACCCCCACACTCATGATGCCAAAGGCATCTGAAGGAAAAAATGGCTGTTTCATCTTTCCATAAGTAAAATGTGTGCGGAGCCATTTGTAAAATGACTTCTTAGAGTAACCTTGGCCAGTGAATTGGGTCTCTGTGCATTTTCTTTGGTTCACACAATGGTGTTTTAGAAAGGACTAACACATTTTTTTTTTATTCAGAATGAATTCATTATTATTTAAATATCAATGCAGTTTTCATAACAGTTATCAAGAATTCCCAGTACCAGGGGAAATAAAACATAGCCACATGCTTGGCTATGTTCAGAGCTTTAGCAAGCCTCTCCATCTTTTAGCTGAACATGCTATGGTGGTATGTGTCAGTACAGGTGAATAAATACAAAATAAAGCAAATGCTAAAAGAGATGTTTCTCTAGGCCTGGAAGTGTCTACTGGAGAACCACAGCCTCCTCCTGCTGTGTCAAAACCCCGGTGTGAGAACTGTTATCTGGGCTGGGATGCAGAGCAAGCAATACATGGTTGTCAGAGTAGCGATATCCAACCAAGGAGAGACCGAGGGGCTGGGGGACAGTGCGATACCTGGTACTGCAGCCCAAGACAGCAAGCCCTGCGCCTATTTCTTGCCTCCAACTGCAGGTCAGTGTCTGTCCCAAAGGCCCCAGTGAAGGCCATGTCTAGCTGCAGTGGCTAAAAATGAAGCTGCCTTCTTGCAAAGCCCAGGGGCAGTAATGAGCCTGACACATTCCTCCTACCATCTTCAGGAAAAAAAAGTGAGTCATGCTACTCCTGAAATATAAACTCCCATAAATAACATTTAAAAAAGAAAAAAAGACATTTTCAAATACCCCAACCAGGGTCTTTCCTCCCCCAGCTGTTGTGGTTGTGATCCTATTCCTTCACAAACTTCTCCATACAAGCCAGGGCAGATAAACCTGAATCCAAACAGCGCTCCCAGCATCAGGAATATACACCTGTCAATCCGGAAGAGAAGAAACATGTTTCTGTTCTGCTCTGCTACACTGTTTTACCTGGGAGCATCAGGGACAAAATAATATACAAAATAATGAACCTCTCCCAAAACAATAGCTCTGTACACCCCTAGGAAAGATCCTTGGCCAGCATAAACGAGATGCTACAGAGGGAGAAGTGGCCAGAGGGGAGAGCTTCAAGTTGCTAAGGACCAGAGCAAGTCCTATTCATCTAAGCTTTTGCCAATTAAAAAGGGGAGATCACAGTCCCCAACACTTCCCTTGGCTTCCTCATTCCCCTGCTCTTTGCTAAGTGTCTCACTGCAACACTGCAAGACTGGTCCCTTGGTGGGTAGTGCTGGGTCTGAATGAGTGCTCCCCACCACCCTCCTGGGCTTGCAGGGCTCACCAGAAACACAGTGGACAGACAAGGACTGCACCCAGCTTTCCTGTCAGACACAGGCTCCAGGGCTCCTACACCGATGGAGTCAGAGGAGGGTTTGCTACACAGACTGAGCCTGGCTTGGTTTACAATGCTGGCTGTAGCATGACATGGGATACAACTGGGACATTAGACGGCTATTGGAGACAGCTCTGCTGCTTCATGCCAATGAATGCTTTTGCTGATGTATATTCTTGCAAGAGCCCTGCCTGCTCCTGCCCTGCTGCAGGTTCAGGCACACTGGGAGATGATGTTAGAGTTGCAGTCTAAGGTGTGAGTGTGGCTTCTTTTGCAGTTTTCAGGCCCACAGCCAGCAGCAGGGGGGCTGACAAAGTCCAGGTAGTAGGGGGACTTGAGGAAACGGCGGTACGAATCCTTTTCCATGAGGGTGAATATTTTTCTCTGAGCCTCATCAAAGCAGGACAGTGTAGGCTCCAGCATGTTGTGGCTTGTCTTCTCCCGTGTGCATGAATCCAGGTTCACCTGTGGGCCAAAGGGACAGCGTAATTAGAACGTGTCCCAGAGTGGCTAGCATAGGTAAGGGAAAATCCAAGCATCTCTGTACCAAATGTGCTTTAGCTCTCCTTATTGGGCAGATGTCTGTAATGGCTGTTTGACACCCTGTAGCCTTGGCAGAATTTGTGCAGTTTGATACCAATGCATCCCTTCTGTCATACGAGCCGTCAGGGAGGGCTGACACGTACCCCTATGGGATGCGGCCAGCCAGGAAACTAAACTGCATGAGAGAAGCAGGAACACTGGGAATCAGAGTCCACTTGGGCTTCTCCCATTTGAGTACACCCACAGGATGGTCACATGGTTGTGACTAAATCCACTTTTTCTCTATCCAAGTTTAATATGGAAGCAATAAAAATGCACCATTTACTTGCTAACTAGCAGAGAAGCAGCACCCTTCAACTCTTGTGAAATTACCTTCCCTGTGCTGCTGGCCTAGTTCACAATTCAGGGTGATACCTTTGCCCAAGAAATATTCTGTGCACATACCTCTTTTGTAGCCTGCACTGAGATGAACTCATCATAGATCTTTCTGGCCTTGGGGCTGAGCTTGGCTGGTGACTTGGTTTTCTTGTAGTCCTCACAACTGACCCAGAACTCGATGTTTTCCTCACTGTACTCAGATTTGAGAAAGGCACGGAAAGCAGCCAGTCCTCCTACAGATTGTTCAGAGAAAAAAACAGATCAGGTAAGAGTGTTGGTTCCTGGATAGTTGTACCTGTGAACCCCAGCAAACAACAATTCTGGGTTCTCCTTCCCGGAGCACAGTGAGCAGCTCCCCTGGGGCCAGCAGTAAGGATAGCTGCCTGCCTCCACGGCAGCTCCTCGTGCAGCTCGTGGCTGTTGAGGGAGCCTGGAATTCAGACAGGCCCCATGGGGATGTTGCATGTGGGTCCCTCAGCTGCCTGCTCCCCCGCTGTGAGACTGTTCCAGTGTCTCAGCCAGGAGAACACAGGCAACTCACATGTTCCCAGGAGGCCCTGAGGAGACAGCCAACAGATGCCACAGGAGCCTCAGGCCATGGGAACAGCACAAAGGAAACCTCAAGGACATCAGTGTAGCCTGGAACCAACAGGAAGACAAAGTCTCCCACGGGCTTAGTTTCTCCACTTTTAGGTTCTTGTTTAACCCACTGTTAACTGTGTGCTGTGGTCTTGCACTCCCCTTGCAGAGGGGATAAACCAGTTGCATTTACAAAAAGGACAGCTCAGCAACAGGCCAAAGCCCCACTCTTGACATTTTGTGATTGTCCCTGGGGTTTCACCAAGGGGACACTTCACCACTCATCCCAGAGGCCTGTGTGGCCAGAGGAGGTACTGTGTGCTGCTAAGAGACGTAAGATAACATTCCATGCTCACTCCAGGGACTGCTCACAGCACACACACTGCAGGCAGCAGAAGGGCCCTCTTTACTTACTGTCATGATGGATCAAGTTTTCCAAAGAGTCCGCCCACTTTCTGACTTCTTCTTGGCTAACCCTAAAAGGAGACAAAGAGAGAAACATAGGGAAGATTTAAGGGCCATACAGAAGAGACAAATTTGTTCTTTTGCTCTGCATCATTAGAATATCTTTTTCCCTGATTGTTCTAAGAGCATACACAAAAGACCAAGAAGGAAACGCCTGATTCCTTTAAAGACCCCTGAGTATCCCAGATCCAATCTACAGAAATTCTGGTTTGCAATCCCTGGCAATTATTGGAGACTTGTGTTTATTTTGTGACTGATTGCAACTCTCGCTGGAGCACAGAGCTGGGACCATTCTTACAGGTCATATTGGCAAACTCCAAAGAGCTGATTTCTTTAACCTGTCAGGGGAACAGCAGCTGGGTCTTGTGATGGCATTATTCCCCTGCACAAATCTTTCCATGTGCATATGCATATTGGATCACAGAAGTGCTGGCAGAAAGGGACATCTAGTTTAACTTTCCTCATGGAAAGGGGCTATCAATCAATACCTGAGAACTATTGCCCACTAGAGTCAAACACAGGCATTCAGGAGTTACAAGGAGGCAGCAGCAGAAACACTATCGAAGTTCAGCCCAGTGAAAGAGTAACTAACATGTTGCTGCCAGCCTGGGCTTAACTACATGGCAGCATCTGCTCTTACCTCTGGCTTGAAGGTATTTTCTCCTTCTTGCCCTGGGAAGAGCCGTAGTCACAGGAGTCTGACTTCTGCAGCAAGAAGCCCAGACGATGCTTCATGTCTTTGGCACTGAAAGAAACAATTGAAGAGCAAGATGAAGATAATGCATTGCAATTCCCACTGCAGTGTCCTCACCCACAACAAGCTCCTTTAGCTTCACTCATGACACAAATGCAGGTGGCTGCTAGTGACTCCAGTGCTGGCTTTCCTCACATAATGCACATTTCTGCTGCTAGACAAACACAACGAAGTCAAAGAAGTAATTTTCTGTGTTCAACAGCACCATTTGCTTGCTGAGAAGGTCATCTGCCTTCAGGCGGGCCTTGCAAACAGTTGCTGTTTTCCTACTGTTTGTTTACAATTACATTATTATGATAGAAAGGCATCACTGCACTGTAAATGCGTCACCTCTCCTTGAGCTGGTTCGCACAGCTACCAGTGTCTGGTTCTTACACCCTTGCTAATCCTTTCTGGCAGCCCCTGCCATCTCCCTGCCTCATCATCGAGCTACAGGAACAGCAGGGCCATGCCAGGCCACACCGCCAAGCAGCTGCCCGTGACACAGGGGGAAGGGAGGAAGCAAAGGGCTCAGAGCAGGACCAGGGGGTGAGATCAGAGGCTGAGCCATGAGCTTCACCGGAACCAGCATATACTAGCTGCAGGCTAATCCCTTGCTCCACAGCAAGCTCCTCAAGGATTCATGTTTAATTTTGTTCTGCCTTCTAGCATGCTTAGGACAATCATTTTCTGATAGCAGCATCTAGATATACAGCTGGTATTGCTCTCAGCATCTCTCTGGATTTTATTCCAATTTAAGAACTGGAGGAAGGGGTGGGTAAATCAGTCCTGCTTGTTCTGGGGTTCAAGCCCTGGCCTGCTGCAGGGTGCAATGATAGTGTAAGCATGAAATTACTCTCCTGCTTCTCAGATCAGAGCCTGGAAAAGAGCAAGAGGCTGTGTAGGGGCTGAGCTCTGATAGCTTCTCAGCCTCCCAGCACTGCTCTTTGCACCATGTCAGCACTCCCGATCATATCTTATCTCACTGCTTTGCTGTGCTCCTAATGTTTCCTTAACAACTGCAGCCCTAGGGTGAGAGTGAAGGGACCTCAGAGCTTCCTTAGAGCTTGTGATGAGGGCCAGCACCCAGGCCTTGCCCTGGCAGACATCGGGTACTCTGCACCAGCAGACTTGGCTGCCTTGCGTGGTCATGCTTCTTGCCTCCAGAAGGAGACCGCTCAGGTCCGCAGGAAAGCAGCAGCAGGGGGAAACAAGATGCTGCTGCTTGCAGTGAGTCCCGCAGCTTTCTGGGAGAGAGGGATTTTCTTGGCAATCCTGAACAGAAAGGTTAAAAGATGTGAACCCTCCCTTCCTCTTTTTTTTTTTTTTTTTAATGTTCCTTTTTTTCCCCCAATCACATGCTCCTGCAAACAGGGAAGGGGGGGGGTGGGGGGTGGGGGGGGTGGTGTGGTGTGTGTCAATATTCTTCCTTGCATTTTCAGCACTTGTTTTCAAATCCACCATGAGTGGAAGCTTTTTCTCCCAGATGGGAGCTGGCTGAGTCTCAGTTTGTATTTTCCCAACTCTCTCCCACTGCACAGCCACAGGGAAGCAGCCTGAAGGCATGAGAGCTGGAAAGCACTGCACCACCAGAGACCCATGCAAGTTTGCATGGGCTGGATGAGCAGGGACTTCTGTGGGACTGGTGACATTCTGGGGACCTGGGCCACTCTGCTGGGGGTCTCAAGGCCCCATAGCACCTGAAAGGGAGTAACACCCCTCCATGAGAGCTCATGGCCACCTTGCTGGCATAGAGACCCCCTCACACTGGGCTGCAGGGCAGGCCATGAAGCCAAGAGCATGTCTTGGGGGCACAGGGATGTCTGGCTGGTGCCGTACACCTGGGTGCAGCCATATCATGCACCCATGGCAGGGGTACAGCTCAGCCCTTCCTGATCAGCATGACACACTGGGAATGGCCAGCCCCACACCAGCCCCACAGCACCATCCACCAGGATACAGCCTGACTTGGTCCCTCACCGCCCATACACACCCAGGGCTGACCCTGCACTGGCTGGTGCCGCATCCAGATCCGCGTTGCCCTGGGCTGGCTTGCAGCCCTGCCTTGTCCTGCCAGGCTGGCCTTCTGCATTTGGGATGTGTTTTGGAGAATGACTCTCAATTCTATTTTTTTTTTTATATATATATATCCTTCCTGCCTTCTTTTTCCCTCAAAAAATCAAGAAAGAAAAATTCAGCAGAGAAAGGATTCAAAGGAGAAAAGGGGTGCAAGGCTTGTGGCAGAAACAGATGACAGGAATATCAATATGTGGCAGTGCTAAGAGCTGCTTGTTTTGCTGATGAGGATGGGCTCAGAGTTCACACAGCTCAGTACAAAACCTTCATGTAATTCTGCTTCTGAATAACAGAAAAAGAAAAAAACCAGCCTATAAGCAATCATTTATATCTCATCTTAGGAAAGCAGCAGAACCAAACCTTGTGCTTCAGACACCAAGTTCAATACATCAGCCTAACAAGACCATTAACAGACGCTCAGAAATAAACAGTACCTTTTTAAGCAAGTGGCTGGCAGCGCAGCGAGTCCCTTGCACATCTTGGTCTGGAGGTTGGTTCTGTATTCCAGGAAAAACAGCAACGCAGGAGGAGGCAGAGGCTGCGCGTGGGTCCCTCGCGTCTGCAGAATTCAGTCTGGTCTCTGAGCCAGCTGCGCTGCCTTGGCTCTGTTTTATAGCCTAGCCCAGACAGCCCAGCAGCACTGGGTGACCCAGTCAGGACTCAGCACAGCGGCAGCACCCATCCCCTTTTTGCCCACCCAAGAGGAAGAGGGTGACGTATAAGCCAAGACAAAGGAGTGAGTGGGATTGAAAACCTTAACAGAAATGAAGCTTGGTGTCTGACTGCAGAGGTGGATTCTTTTAAAAAGGCAGAAAGAGCTTCAGGAGCTTCCTCTATTGCAAAAGGTGGAATGGTGCAGATAAAAGCTGGAGATTTTCAGAGGGGCACAGATGGTAAAAAGGGTCAGAGAATCAATTCAGAGAAGTGAGATGCACTTTGATGGTTCCTCAGTTTATTTTCCTCTTCTATGTAAAGCAACCTGGGGAAAACAAGGGACAAGAATTTTAAACACAAAAGGTTCCTATAATCCCAAGAGATGCAGAAAACAGAGCTCTGAGGAAAGAAGAATGTAAATTCAACAGGGAATAACCCAGGCAGACAAGACTGTCCTGTTTTATTCTAGAGGCATGTGGGTATATGCTTTTGGTGGAGCTAAGAAAGCTCTGAGGGGCATATCGCTATTGGGACATAAAATGTGTGTGTCCTGGCACACACGCATCTGGGGACAGCTCATGTACATGTGTACAAATAAAGACAGGAGGCTGGCCACACAGCTGCCTTAGATATACCATCAAAAGCCAGACCTTGGGAATCACAAGTCCCTGTATCTCCAAGGGAAGATCATTAATTAAAACAATAGCATAACTGTGCCTGCCCAGAGAGGAATTCGCAGCAGTGTTGAGGCTGCTGTGTGCTGAAGGATGAAACCCCTGGCTGTGGGGATGTTTGGTGGTGACTACACTGCCTGTACTCACAAGGGAGAGCAGAATGAGCCTAGCTACATTACTTGTGCTCAGCCCTTGGAGGGTGCAGAAAGCAGTTGTCTCTCTGGAGAGAGGTGGCTGATACTTATTGAGTTGCAGCTCAGCACAGCCTGTACCATCATTAGGGAAGAGGGGAAAGCTCTGGGCAGACAGGTGTGCATATGGTCTGCCACACTTGAAGACTTACTCTTGCTGCGAAATAAAGAAGGCTCATTTCAGGAGCAGGCTGTCTGCCCACGGCACCACTGCTGCACTCCCTCCCCCAGAAACCCCTAAATGCTTTGCCCATGACCTGCAGAAGTTGCAGAGTGAGATTTTCCCTCCTGTGTCTCTAGAGCCTACAGCCAGCAGCACAGACACCCCAAACCCCAGGTTAGTTTACCTGCCTTGGCACACTGCATCCTCTCAGATTATTAACTGCTGAATTAACTATAAATGCTTTTGTATGAATGTAACTATCCCGTTGCCAAACCTGAAGCAACATACCTGCAAGTTATGCACTGTCTGGACTGAAAATCAGCTCCAGCTCAGGGCAGTGTAAAACTTTGAGTGAATCCCCTTTTGTTTTTAGTGTTGCTTAGCTGACAGCACCTGTACAGATCTGTAGGTAGCAATTGAGCACTGGCAGAGTTGGTGCCAAAGCTCTGATATCCTCTGTTTGGGAAGGAGAGAAGCCAAAGGGCAGAATATGGCCTACATGAAAAAAACTAATTAACATTTAATTTTACTCTCAGACATGTGAAATGCGTTGCATGCCTGTTAATCCCAAGGTGCCATGCATGCAGCACATTTATTCAAGCTATTCAAGAGCTCAGCTGGCTCAAAAGGCCAAGGTTGTCTGTAAGCATTAACCCTGACCCTAACCTTGGCAGCAAGAGCCTGACCTCCCAGCTCAGGAGGGTCCCAAAGGCTGCTTGCTAGGGCAAGGAACCTCTGTGCAGAGCACAGATCCTACAGTTTCTCTGTGAACTGGCATGTAATCAGATTTTGGAATGTCTCACTTCCCTGTGGACTGTAAGCATGTTTGCTGCATGGCTCTAATCACATCCAAATCCTGCCTGGTGTTGCCAACATCAAGTCACCTTCTGCATTCCCCAATTTCTGTGTGAGCAGGCTGTACTAAGAAATTTCTAACACTGCCGCCATAACAGCCAGCCCAGAGAGCTTTGCAACTGAGTCCATCCTCTCTGGACTTGGGCATGCAGCCTCCTGCAACTGCTGAAGCTGAAATTTCCCTTTTCCCAGTTGATTAATACAGACTGGTTCAGTCAGGCCCCCATGAGAGGAGTTTGCATAGTGTTTCTCCTCTAAGCTGTTTCCCAGCTGTTGCAGTTTAATATCCTCTCAGCTGCTCCAGCTGATCCCCAATCAAAAGTACCCCCTTCCATCTCTCACCCTTCATAGTCATCCTCTTCTCATAGGGCACAGACTGTGCTGTACTCAACACCAGTCTCCTCCTCCCTGCCAGTTAGAGAAGCAGCAGCTCATGCCACTTATTACGCCTATCACGTAACCTCTGGCTCACTTCATCTGCAGCATGGAGAACTCAGTGATGATGGGCTGGAGGTGCAAGGCTAGGGCTGGGGGCCCCCTGGCCAACTGCATCTCTTGGCCATGTGGTGCTTTGGAGGTTCACAGGAGATAAAGGATAGCAAACATTTGCGGTGCGCACTGTGGCATCCCTCATCCCCCACGCACTCATCCCTGCTGCATCCCCCACCCTGCCTCCCTAGGCAGCTAGAGACAAGGCTATGGAACAGAGGGAGCTTTCCCTCCCACCATCACTGCTGGGGAAAGACGTCACACACACTGGCTCACCCCCATACACAAGCGCATGTGGGATGTGTCCCTCGGCTCTGCTGCAGCCAAGCAGCAGGCCGTGGGAGGAAGCAGGGAGCACGGGAACGTTGCTTCAGCGGTCGTTGCCCAGAGCCAAGCTACTCCAGGCTGTTGTCCTTCTGACAGCGCGGGGCTCTCCTACCTCAGTCCCTTCCCATCTCAGAGCAGCGTGCTGTGGGATGCATGAGCGCACAAGGAAGACGGCTGCTTTGCGTCACTGAAACGGGGAAGGGCATGACATGGGAGCTGTGAGGACGTGCTGCTGGGCCAGAGCCTCTCCTGTCACTGCTGCCTTCCCTCATGTGCCTTGCAAAGGCTAACAGTGTCCCACCCTTCCTCCTCTTCATGCCAGGCATCTTGGGATTGGGCTAGCAAATTGCCTGGGTGCACAGCAGGACGCTGGGCAGAGCACTGTCCATCTTTTTTCATGGGTAATCCCACCCCAATATGTGTCTGACCTCTCATCCGCTCTACAAGACAGCATTGCTGAGGAACCAGAGCAGCTTCCACACCCCTGAGAAGTGCTAACCAGGGTGGCACTGGTCCCCAGGGCCCCAGAAGCCCTGGTGACGCTTAAACCTCTGTGAGCTGCCCCAGCACCAAGCCCTGCTCTGGGGAGGGGGCCTGGAGCTGTGCTGAACTCCTGATTTGTTTCTCTCCATACCCCATCTCCAAGCACTTTTTGCACAAAATCTTTTACAGTGAAACCCCCAAGTAACCATTAACTTCTTCTCTGGTACACCCATTATAGTGGGTAAGATTTCCTTCCGGTCATGAAAGCTGTATCTTATCCACATACCTGTGTGCTTTGATTGACTTATGGCTAAAGAGTTGGCAGCAGGAAGGGCCATTTTGGCCTGAGTTTGGATGAATCAGCTCAGTGCATGCTTGTACCTGACACAGCATGCAGCCACGTTTCCCATCTCAGGGCCATGGCCTGACCTCTCTAAAAGACACATGGAGAGGACACACTTGTCCCCATAGTCCCCCATCCAGTGCTCGATTCCCAGAAACACTGTCCCACAGCACAGCCTGAGGAAAACCTTCTTTCCCATATCTCTGCAATGCACTGCCTGACTTCATGCTTCACCACAGCCGTGGCCCTTGCAACCAGCCCCCAGAGGCACGCTTTGAGGAGGGGGCATCTCTTCCCAAACTAGCCCTGACCAGAGGCATAATTCACCATGCTACTTTGCAGATCACACAGAAACCTTCTCAAGTGGATGCGCCTCCAGCCTGACCCAGTCACCTTTCTGCTTCTCTTGGATGAGGCAAAGATGAAAGGCAAAGCAGCTTTGCGTGTTGCTGGAGTTTCTTTCTGAGCCTGCTCCTCTCTGACATGATGCTCTGTAAATGTTAGCGAATTCATTCAGCATGTTCCTTAGCTCCAACTTCATACAATTCATACAACCAAATGTACAACTCATACAGTTTTCCCATGCTCTCATCTTTTTTTCTACTTATAGATGCACCTGTAACATCAGTGGATTGTTGTAATTTCTAAGTTCTTGGAAGTTCCTAATAATCTGGGGGGCGAGGGGGCTGGTTGGGTTTTTCATTGCTTCAACCCTCAGCTTTTGTTTGGGCTGCCTGCTTTTGCTGTTAATACCCAGAGGAAAATATTTCTGGAAGGAAGAAATTTGTTCAGCCCAAATGGACTTCTTTATTTTCTTCTGGTTTCGGTTCGCAAATGAAATAAGTGCTTGGTTTTGTGTTTCTGGTTTTTTGTCTGGCCATTGTTGTCGTTTGTGGGCATCAGGCAACAGAAGAAACTATAATTTGAGTAATTTGCCTTCCAATCTTCAAAATCTCTGTCTCATCATCCATCTTGATTAACAGCCCTTAAACATTTACTCTTAATCACTGAGAAAGTTTTGAATAACACTGAACCACAAATCAAGCCAACAGAGGCCTGTCCACTAAAACCACTTTGAAATGTCTCAGCCACTTTTAGTCCATTTAATATGGATTTTATGACATTTTAAGCCAAATATTGATAGCAAGTGATATTCATTTATAAATCTATTTCACCACCATAAATCCCTCATAAAAGCACTATTAAGCTCATTAGAAAAGGTCTATTTTTCCATTAAATCACATCAGCTGGTACAAATTATATCACCACCTTTTCAAATGAGCCTGCTATTGTCCATACTAATAGTGCTTCTGCGCTGATCAAAAAGGTTAATTGCTCTGCGACTACACAGCTCACCCCCTCTCAGAGCATGGCTTGCTTCCAGTCTCCTTTTATTGTAAAATGCATGAAAAAGAACCACTCTTTGTCCTGAGAGATCTTTAGCCTGTTCCTTCAAAAATCTTAGTGCAAGGCAGTTGCACTTGGGTGATATAAAACTGTGTAGATCACC